CTTGATATATATATTTACTCCAATTTTCATTGAAATGCTACTTATTTCGAATATTGTGTTTCATAAAAGCACTAATAAATCAGACGCATACATTGAGGAATCACTGGCTGTTATTTCATTGCATCCTCAATTATTGTCCATATTCTCGAAACAACTATCTCATCATTTCTTGTAAACTTGGCAATAATATACAAGTTGTTTCATAATTGAATGCTGATCCTAAAGGGCGATGATCCTTGGATGATTTTAAGGAGAGAAGTTCATATCAACATATGTCCTGAACCTCTTAGTTTTTGAGCTACAGAGTGTTGAAATAAAAAGCGTACAGCGTTTTTTCAAACTAAACATTCAATATCAGGTCTACGAGGACATCACTGGTAAAAGTGGAAGTTTGATTTTCGTCCCAAAACAAAATGTGTTTTCACTTATAGTGGGTGTCTACTGAATTACCTAAAACAATATCCAAGAACTGAAGGAACAAAATTCTTTGGTTTTTATTTTTTTACGCAAAAACGGTACGTTGTATGGAAGTAAGTCAAATTCGCTCCAAAATTAATAAGAATTGAGAAAAAAATCTGGTTCTCAGAAGAATCAGTGGCGTACTATTTTTTTCTTCAAAAATTGTCAGTTCAAACCCCGTAAAAAAATGCTCCTTAATAATGAAAAGGTGTATACAAAATATCATAACAATATCTAGGAGTGATAAAAAATTATGATGAAAAACTAATCACCCTGTAGCTCAATAACTAAGAAGTTTAGGACATATGTTGATATGAACGTCTCTCTTTGAAATCATCCAAGGATTATCGCCCTTAAGGATCAGCATTCAATTATGAAACACCCTGTATATCAAATTGACTTTTCTATCATTAGGTAAAGGATCTCAATAGGTTCAGCTGCATTAGCCTATATAAGAACTTACTATTCAATTTGTGGAATGAATTGAAAATGTTTCTGATAAAATTTGTTTACTTCACGTTCTAGAAAAAACTATAATTTTATGTGTAGGTATTGTATTCAAAAACATTCACCTCTTACTGTCAAATTCTTATGCATGGTGGTGTATCTGAATAACGCCGAAAAAATTCAAGGGGTGATTCTATGTGATATTCTAGCAACTAAGGTTGATATAAACATGTGTCCTTGAAGTTGAAAGTATGAATTTCTTTTTATTTATAACCCCCCTGTATAAGTTTTCATGGTGTCAACATTCAGTATGGTTGGAGACTGAGAAGACCCCAAAATTTCAAAATGATTGTGATTGGGGTTATTGAGTAATCTCAAATGAGGTCTTGAAAACACCTACATTAAATTTGGAATCAAATTGAATTTTTATTGTTTCCTCATAACCTAAGCTAGATACAAAAATCACACAAAGGGTGAAAAAGTTGTCACTTCAATAGTACAATCTGACGAAAATATAAAACTCAGAAATAAATATTGATACATTCACCCACTGTGACGCCAATGAAAATATTATTTCGAACCTAATTGCACCAGAAGAAGCTCCATATTACTATCAACAAAACCACAACGTTTTATTGAAATTGATGAAAAAACAATTGAGTAATGAATAAAGAAAACATTTTTCATGGAAATATGTATACCCTATATCTCGAAAACGAAGCAAGTTTGGACGCATGTTCATATAAACTTTATTTCCTAAAATATCACAAGGAATCGCCCCTTGAATTTTCTCGGTGTTATTTAGATACACCCTGTATAATATAGCAAATACTTTTTTCAACCTCATCATTGTTAGCTCTCAACCAAAAAACTACCAGTAAATATTATTTCGAGTTTTTTCAATCAAACTAAGACGATGTATAAAATAAATGAGATTATTATCATTTCAAAACAAACACTTCCTGCACCATTTGAAATGGTGTCAATTCATTGGTATGACTGATGTGACGAATTAGTATCAACACGCCTATTGTCCTTTTGAGCTGACCAATCCCACTGCAACACTGCAGAATGGCAAGGTATCAGGGAAAGACAGCAACAGTTCGGACTAATACGTCACGGCTCCACCTTGCTCTTTGAACTATCGAATGGATTAAGCTGATTTCAAAACGCTATAGATTCGATTCCCTTCAATTTCAACTCATAATATTGATTGTACATCAAATTTGAATCATGATGAGGATTGGACGAATTTAATCCCAATTATTTTGACTAGAATCGATAGTATTGTCGTGAATGAGATTTCTGTCACGCCCAGTATAATGAGAATCTTTGTTTGCTCCAATTGAAATAATCGAATGAAATATCTTGCTGAAAGAGACAAGACACGAATTGTGAAACAAAAAGTAATTATGGGGTTGGTAAAATAGAAGTTTTGATTCTAGAAGAACTGATGGTTCGAATAAACCCTACTAGGTAGGTACCTATTGCAAGTAATTATGTAATGGCAGAGGAAAGAGATTGATTGATTGTGTAGCTATAATTGAATTTTCAAATATACATTGCATTGTTTCCGAACAGCCGTAGTTTCACTGTGTTCACCCTACCAAGTCAGTCGTGAAAATAGAATATATTAGACGAAAGTCTAGTCATGTTATCGTTATCTAGTGGCATAGTTCTAAGGTAGGTTCACGCCATACACAGTAGGACGCTGTCATTCATAGTCAACACGTGGAGACTCCTACGTCTGTACATTACAGAAGTGAACTACTCTGCTGACAGATGACTCTACCTGACTACTTTTTTTTTATCGCTTGGAGCGCACGAAAGGGAATCCTTATAATGTTCAAAGAACATCGTGCGTTCCTAGGGAGGATAGGGATAGGAGGTAGGTATTGGATTTTTTTTGAACTTCTGGAGATTATATGTTGTTGGGAATACTTCCTCAGGCAATGAATTCCAGAGCCTGTAGATGAAAGAGTTTTGAAAAAGTGCTGTTCGACATCTTTCGAGGTTGACAACGAAATGATGTGCTGACTGGATTGATCCACCAGACCTATTTCAAAAACTAGTAGTGATTCACACGAGACCAACGATACGAGACTTTCATAAAGTCTCGTCTTGTCTCGCCGATGAAATATGAAGTCTTGTCTCGAGTCTCGTCTCGCAGCACCGAGTCTCGTCTTGTCTCGCGTCTCGTACGAGAGTCTCGCAAATGTATCGCAATTTCGTCATGCATAATCTTGTTCTAGTCTAGTACGGGATATTTGCCTTTACCTACTTTTTAGGTATACGGGATTTACGGGAAGTAGGAAGAGAAAATTACAACAAAAATAACATAATTTATTGAAAAGTAATAAGTACCTAATAGGTACTTACATCGTACATCTAAACAATAAAAAAAAACATTATATATTCGAGTTATAAAAATAAAATAAAAAGTAACACGTATATTCTTAACAAATAAACAAAACAAATACTTTTTTTCAACATTATTTTACTTATTTGAGAAATATAGGTATCTAAGATCCATCATTTTGTGTTCACCCAATGTCAGTGTCAATTTTGATTAAACTAATTTCATTAGAATTTCTTGAAACGTTGCATAGCAACAAAATTTTTCTGTCTAGGCAGTAAAAGTACACCTTTTCTGCCTGTTAGGCGGCAGGAAAAAGCCACTATACCTGCCGCTTGGAGAAAAAAAACCTTTATCAGTCAGATCAGCCTTCACGATCGCAAATGTTCTTGTTTTTCACTCACTCGTTAAGACATAACAAACATCGTGCAGATCTATTAGATGATTTCTCATTGAATTCATTCTGAATATGTTTCATTATGAATGAATTTCTCAAGTCTGCAGTCGACACGCAGAAATATTTACCTGCGAGACTCTCGCACGAGACACGAGAAGTCTTGCACGAGACTCGAGACGAGACCAATAAAAGTCTCGTCTCGTCTTGTCCGCGTCTCGTCTCGAGTCTTGTCTCGAAAACGAGACGAGACAATGCGAGACTCTCGAAAACGAGACTCTCGCGGGCACCACTGAACTACACACACTGGCACAATTAGGGGAACGGGCAAAATTTACACTAAGCTTGACATCAATTTTCTTTCGAACCGATCGCTCGATTCAAATTTTTTTCTTCACGAAATGTAGCTTCATTCTGCACAAATACATCTGAGGAATAATTACCTTCAAACGATGAGTCTTTCCATCATATACAGGAGTGTAAAGAAAGTACGGATTTTTCGGTATATTTTTAGACATCCTGTGGACTGAACCACTGATAATTGAAACGATTCCTCAACACCAAATTGGAGCCCAATCTATTCCGAATATTTTCGTTTTTATTCATCTTGATATCTCAATTATTCAAGAAAATACAGAGTTTCGAAGGAAAGGTGGATATTGGTATCAATTTTACACCTCAAAACTCAAATTGGATCTTTGACAATAATTAATGACATTAACAAAATAGCCAACGTTGATTAACAAAAATAGCATTTCACCAAAAGAACATTGGAGCAACTTTTATCACCCCTGCATATTCATGAGAGAATTCGTATATGTGTCTTTAAACAGTAAACCGATAGGTAAAACTGTGAACAATTCTCATCTCGAGTTTCGAGGTGGTAAAATTAATACCAATATCCACCTCTTCTTTGAAACTCTATATTTTCTTGGATAATTGGGATGTCAAGATGAATAAAAAACGAAAATATTCGGGATAGATTGGGCCATAATTTGGTGTTGGAAAATCGTTTCTATTATCAGTGGTTCACTCCACAGAATGTCTTAAAGAATACCGAAGAATCCGTACTTTCTTTACACCCCTGTATATGATATAAAGACGAATCGTTTGAAGGTGGTTATTCCTCAGATGTATTCGTGAAGAATGAAGCTACAATTCGGGAAAAACAAATTTGAATCGAGTGATCGGTTCGAGAGAAAATTGATGTCAAACTTAGTGTAAATTTTACCCGTTCCCCTAATTGTGCCAGTGTGTGTAGATTCCACAATTGAAGTACCTATAACTGATATTTTCCTTTCGGTGCATAAAATCCTGACAAATTCTGTCCGCTACACCCTGTAGATGCTCGATTCCCGACGAAACTTGTCCATTATCGCTGCACACGTGTCACTGGCACCTCTCGATGCCTGAAAAGTTCCACTTCTCGCCCAGTCCTCAGGCGAGGAAAGTTGTACATTATAAGTGGCTGGACCGCCACCGAGTATCGAGAAGCGGGCCCGAGGCCTGAGGGGGAGGCGGGAGCCCAGACGGGGGCGGTTTGAGTGTCCCGCCCGCCCGGGATTGATAGCGAAGTGGCCGCGGGCGGTATACAGTGGCGGGCCGAGGAAATTTCGTGTGTATCGAGAACACTATCCTTGAAAATGAATTTTCTCAGATATAATTATGGACGTGAAAAAATGGATATACAGTCTGTCCAAGATAAGGTTGCACAGCATGGGGATCTCGGAAACGGTAGGAGATACGAAGTCGGTTAAATGGGGAAAAAGTTGCGCATTCGGAGGCTCATACCAACAGCCTTCGAAAATTTCCAAAATTGTTTCAAGTTCTCCAGTTATATCGAAAAAAGTGAAATTTTGGAATATCTATTATTTTTTCACTGTTATTATTAGAGATACAGAAAAACTGAAAATACTTTTTCATAGCAACTTTTAATGACGTTTAACGTGGTGATACCGATTTTTCTATGCGACGTTTCGTATTCGTAGAACAATCACCAACTTTTGTTTTTTAAATACGGTCCTGATAATTCTTTCACAGATTCTGAAAGCTTTTTTTATTATGAATTGAACCATGTATTGAACAAGGTGGTTTGAATGTGTTTCGACCTATTTTTAGCCATCATCAATGTTTTTTTCGAAATTCCAAAGGAAAAATGCCATCAGTTTCACTTATTTCTGATTATTCAGTGTAAAACATTGATGGACTAGTTATTCAATACTGAAAAGTGAAAAAAAAATCCACTAAATTATTCGATGCAGCGCTTCGAATTGTTTATGAATTGTATTCATATTTTAATCCAAAGGAGCTTGTCATAATTGAATTTTTCGAACTAATTATTCCTATAAGTCTATCAATCGGAACTAGTTGATGAGGTATTAGTTTGTTGGCTAATTTTCCTTCAAAATAAGTGGAAGTGATGGCATTTTTCCTTTGGAATTTCGAAAAAAACATTGATGATGGCTAAAAATATTCCGAAACACATTCAAACCACCTTGTATGATACATGGTTGAATTCAGAATAAAAAAAGCTTTCAGAATCTTTAAAAAGAATTATCAGGGCCGTATTTAAAAAACAAAAGTTGATGATGGTTCTACGAATACGAAACGTCGCATGGAAACATTGGTATCACCACGTCAAACGTAATCAAAAGTTGCCATGGAGAAGTATTTTCAGTTTTTCTGTATCTCTAATAATAACGGAGAAAAAAAAATAAAATAGAGATTCCAAAAATTCACTTTTTTCGATATAACTGAAAAACTAAAAAAAAATTGGAAAATTTCCGAAGGCTGTTGGTATGCTCCGAATGCGCAACTTTTTCCCCATTTAACCGACTTTGTATCTCCTACCGTTTTCGAGATCCCCATGCTGTGCAACCTTATCTTGGACAGACTGTATACAGGGTGTCCCAGAACAACGCCATAAATTCTAGAGGGGGAACTAGAGATTAAAATAGGCCGATTGAGGTCAACTTACCTCTTTACGAAAACGCACCGTTGAGCTGTGAGAGGGCGATGAACAATCATTTTATTTTCAGATTTTCTAGAATATCTCAGAATCCTTGAGAGATACAGCTTTGAAAATTGAAGGGCAATTTACTATAGTGGATATGAATCGAATACATGTCATACAAATTTGATCAATATGCAGAGAGATAGATATTTCGCATTGACTTTGAAGAATATCGATTAATAGCGAAGTGGCCGCGGGCGGTATACAGTGGCGGACCGAGGAAATTTCGGGGTGATAGAAAAAATTATGAAAAGGAATATTCTCAGAAATAATTATGGTTTTAATTAAGGCACAGATCCGACTTGTCCTGGAATACTGTTCCCATAGTTGGAGTGCAGCACCCAAACATACCCTAAAACTGTTGAATTCTGTGTAAAGAAGGGCAATTTGTCTCGTGGGTGATGCCTCGCCCACAAACTCACTCACTTCTCTGGAACACCGTTGGCGATCTGACTCTATTTCATAGATATTTTCACGGACAATGCTCTTCAGAAATAACAACAATTGTTCCTTCCTTGGCAGTCCCCGCGAGATTAACCCGTCAAGTTGAGGCTTCGCACACCATCGTGGTCACTTTGGAGGCCTGCAGAACATCTCTTTCCAAAAACTCGTTCATCCAACGAACAGCAAGGCTCTGGAACACATTGCCAAGGGAGGTGTATCCCGAGGTAGATAATCTCCAGAAATTTAAGAAGAACACCAATTCCTACCTTATTTCTTTTGGTTCTCACGATGTTCTCTGAACATCACAGGATATTTCCTATCGTGGTGACAAGAACATTAAAAAATGGATATACAGGGTGATCCACGGTGAATGACCTATAAAAAGTATCTGGAGAACGAGAAGACGGAACTTTCTGGAAATTGTGATGCTTTGATAATTGAACATTCTCTATCCGTCTAAAATATTTTCATCGATACAGTGTTGCCACTTCTATCAGAAACAACTAGAAACTTCGTTATTTCGAAAGGAGCACTCTGTATTTTATTGAATATTCAGATTCTCCCTGTAGAGCTGATTTCATCAATGCATCACACTTGGGGTCTATCAGGAATGATTACAGAGATATATATATGGTGTTCAAAATCGAGATTTTTCAATTTTAGGATTTTTTTGTGTCGAAACTATGCATAATCGATCGAAACGGCTCACATGTCCCTATCTCAACTTTCGATTCACTATCTACTGACATGTAATTGGAACAGATACAGGGTGAGCTAAATTCTGAATCTTGAGGCACCCTGAAAGGTGAACTTGACAGGAATACGACATACTTCAAGGGTTAGGGCAACAAATAAATAATTTATTCAGAGAAAGTGTTTTTTATCACTTAGAGTGCACGAAAAATAATCCCTATACTGTTTGAAGAACATCGTGAGTAATCAAGGACGAAAGAGAAAGGAGGTAGGTTTTGAAATATCTTTTGAAGTTTTAGAAATCATGAGTTCTCCGCTGTTGAACCCCATATGTTGGGAAAGGTTTTCCAAAACAGGCCGTTTTTTTGCTTCGTAGATCATGAGAAGCTGTGAATCAGCCTTCGCGATGGATCTGACATGATTTTCAACAAATAGTATTGCTGATGGAAACACCGAACAAAGATAAAGTGCACTTGCTGTTATATCAGGCATACTGAGTTCTGCCTTCCAAGATGAAATACAGGCTTGAGTTTTGGTAGCATTGAATTCAACAAGGTTGTCGGTTCCCCAGGCTGTGATTGCAGGACATATGCCATTAACAGCGTTGACCTGCCTTCGCCATGAGTTTCTGGAGAAAACAGAAAAGAACGCAGTATGGAGAGTACCACCGTCTGCTATGCTGTGGATTGGGCAATTGGTTGCTCCCAACAATTGATTGATATGAAGTAGGACCAATGTTTGGGCCAAAATTGATCATTGTGGAACGACGGAATGGATGGCAATGGCATCTGACAATACTCCGACCACCACCAAATGGAGCGATCTGCCTGAAAGAAAACTTGATGAGAGATATCATAGCTGAGGTGGTAAGCCGTAGGTATAAAACGGTTGAATGCCTTCGATATTATCGAAGCAACAGCTAGAGATTCTCCATGTTTTTCTAATGAAGCTTGCCATATCTGGGTGGGTGATGCATAGGAAAATTGATCTCCAATTGATTTTTGGTGGCGAAATCCATATCGTCTATCATTGATGATTCCTGAGCTATCCAGATACTTCCTCCATCACTTTGGAGATGACCGAGGACAATTGACCCTTAGTCGTAGGACAGGCATTTATTTTCTTTTTCGAGGATTGGTCGGATTCTAGTGTCAGCGACGATGTTAAAATCACCCTGTAGTTGAGAAGAACGCCTAAGGAATGCCGTGTGATCGAAGATTGAAGCAGGTTCAGTCATTAGCATCGTAGCATCAGAACGAATCACTTGTCGATGTTGTATTTTTATGAACGGACATTATTGTACAAGCTGTCCTGAGTGAATGAAAATGTGTTTGAGTGTTGAAATTTAGAATCTTAAACTAGCTATTTTCTAGCAAGATAAAGAGGACAAAGATGCAATAACCGGCCCTAGGTCTTTCGAATATTTTCTGTTTCATCACCCATTACTTTTCTTTACAAAGAAAAATCAGCGAATGACACCTTACAAATCGTCTCCCCTGAAATCGTTATCAATTCCCAAAGTGGTAATGCGAAACATTACGACAACGATATATACGTACACTTGTTGCACCCCATGCGCCCAAACAAACTACCCCTCATGCCGTTTCGCCATGATTCGGGATTTTCTCGACCCGAAGAAGCCGACGGCTCTTAAATGCCCATCCCGGACCCTTGTCTCCAAATAAGGGGGATGATCGCCCCGGATCCTAGGGGTTCCTGGGGACTCGTTCAAATCACAGTAAATTCCCCCCGTCCCAAGCTGACCGTTTCTTTTTATGTTTGATTGTTGCATTCATTGCTGGGACGTGCTTATTTCTTCAAGCAAGGATATACCAGTATGTACAGGATGTCTTCTTATAGTTTGAATCCTACCTACAGCCTCAACTTTACGAGGTGAAATAAAAAACTTGGAATATGAAAGTTGTGAGGTTTCATCTATTTTATCTTTTGGTAATCCTAGAATGAACAAATGCGAGAATCACAAAGTCGAAAAAAATTAGTTCATTGTCAACCTTGAAATATGTCGAACAACACTTTATCAAAATTTGTTCGACTATAGAACGGCAAAGCTTCGGAATTATTTGCCTATGGAAGAATTCACAAGAACCCATACAGGGTGTTTCGAAAAAACCTGACGCCCTTGCTAGGGTAGTTAGAACACTGCAAAATGAGTTTGGTTTGCTCAATGAAAAAATTTCGTTACGGCATCCGCTTTCATGATACAAGGTGTTGAAAAATGATTTTCTTACACAATTTTCACGATTATATCGAAACTACTGGCAACATTGTAATGAAATTTTGTATGGATGTTCCTTGAAATCTGACACATCGCATGAATTTGTTTTTGAATCCGACTCTCA